CATATATGTGTGTGTATATATATGTATGTGTACATATATGTGTGTGTGTATATATATATGTGTGTGTATACATGTGTGTGTGTGTATACATGTGTGTGTGTATGTATATGTGTGTATATATCTCTGTGTGTGTGTGTGTGTGTGTGTATGAGAGAGAGAGAGATATGCACACATCAGACCATACCCACATTCTAACGGTGGCGTTTGGACCAACAATAGCACTGCAATTAAAAGTGAATTTCATTGAGTCCATAGTGTTTGTGTAGTGTCACAACGAAGACGACTGGTTCAACTTGAAATGATTGTGGCTGTGAGATGTAAAATGCCATCTCATAGTATTAGAAACCACTGTGCAGGACTGTAGTCATTGTCTTAGGAGTGTCAGAAGCAGCATAGTGGAATAGCCTTAGGGCCTAGCTGGCTTAGCTTAACCCCTGTAGCTCAGCTCCTAACTAAGCCATGTACTGATGCAATCCCTTGTGTTTATTTTAATGCAAGTCTGTTGTTGGGCTGAACACTCACTGACTTCATATTTTGAGATGGGTCAAAGATGCTTCCACACTGTCATCGTGTAGCCATGTCGGATCGTGCCTGTTCAATCAGAAGCTGGGTTGCCATTGGACATGGTGCTATTGTTGCATGCACAGTATGTGTGCATCAGGGTGTAGGTAGTGGTATTATCTGTCTCTTGGGACATTATGAGCAAACATGTATAATAAATGAGGCGGTTGTGAGCCAGAGGGTACCGTGGTAGCTCTAGGGCCTTGTTAAGGTAGCATGGGCAAGAAAGGATAGCAACTCATTTAGTATTCTCTGTAATCAGAACCACCCCCTCCTGTGGGCACCTTAGATCACCTTCAACCCCCTGCTGTTACAGTAGAGACCCCTTTATTGATTTTTTGTCATGTTGGGTTGAGTTCTCCAGCATTGTACAGGTCACCTTTCATATGTTGTATTCTCCCTCCTTTTTCTGTCAAAACTCCGGCACATTCTGTTCAGCTTGTCTTAGAAACTCCTTGTTTTTCCATTCACCCAGGACCCTTTAGAGCACCTCGCGATGGGTTGGGAATATTCCCTTTGGTAGTTGTTTGTATTGTATTTAATGTATTCAGTGCTGTGCAAATAGTCATCCTCTGTTGTTCTCCTGTGGGATCCATATTGGTGAAATTTTCACATACAGAATGGCCGAATGTTTAACGTATAAGAGTATAGTCCAGTCTATGTGGTGATTTATCATGCTGATGGTATGTCTTCCAGCTCTTCTTAGAAAACCTGGAGCATGAAGACTCATTCATCTACCTGTCGGCCATTCAAGGTAATCTATGATGCAGCTTGGCCAAATGTGATGTTATGACTGATTTTCACCGATGCATCACACCGATACTATTAACTGTACAGCTGAAGCTGTCGGTAACTCCTGAAAGCAGATGTTCTGAGTATGAATTGTCTGTAGGTCTGTCTGCATTGGCTGATTCATACCCCGAGAGGATTCTGGAAAGGCTCCTAAAAGACTTCCAGCATGGACCCTCCCTCTCTACATCCAACCAGGAGCACTCCCTGGAATTCCGCCTCAAAGTGGGAGAAGTTCTGATGAGGGCGAGTCGGGCCATGGGTGAGCATCCTCTGTTGTTTCTTCACACACACGTTTGTGTGACTAGATACTCACTTGGCTTGGTGACTAGATACTCACTTGGCATGGCTCCTAAGAGGGCATTCACTAATGTGATAACTTAGCTTTAGAGACCAGGTTGTTCATACATTATGCTCCATGTTACAGTGATGTTGCTAGGTATGTGTCCTGAGTCTGTGACCCATGGCAATCTGAAATGACGCAGTAAACTCAGTATCGACGAGAGTACGGTAAATAATAAAAAATGATAATTATCAATCACCCGGTTGCCATTTTCTTAGTGTGAAAATCTGTCCTGCACAGATACGATCCTGTGTTCATGGTGTCACTCACTTTATAGATTTCACTTCAATTATTAAGGCTACTATGGTATCACAGTTGGGCAATGTTCTCCATAGTGGGGGGTTATAATTAAAATATATGTAAAATAACATTTTTGGCCTATTTTATTTGTGCTATTTTGTATTTATTCTTTGTTTGTACGATCTGCCTGCCACTCTAGTCACTGCGCTGTCCTGTTCCTAACCCATTCATTTCAGTAACCGGCCTAAAACATTTTTTTCAGTCCATTGTCTGCTTACATTCAAGTATATAATTGCACTTTAGGTTTTTAACATATCTGAATGGCCATCTTTATGCACAATATTTAGTGTTAAACAAGTTGTTTCTTTAAGGCATTGTTTGAAATAGAGATGTCAGGAATAATCGGTTTAGCCATAACTGCGATTATAGAAGTCACAGTTTCAGAACTAAACATTGTAGAAGCTGCGGTGTCTGTGGTGTCCTAATTCCTACATCGTTGCCCTGTGAAGGTTATTCAGATGTAATGACTATAACTATTAATAGATGATGCATCATTGACGGGCGAATCGTAATCGAATCGTGAAACCGGTGAAGATTCACACCTCTAATGATAACGTATGCTTGTTTATTTATGTGTCCATATCTGTTGACATTATTATTATCTGTCTGTGGTGGACAGCTGTCGGCATAGAACCACCACACTACAAGAGCCACAGTGCAGACTTGTTTCCCATGCAGAGTTCTGCTCAGAAGGGACCTTGTGTATCACAACCTTTCCCTGATTGAAAACCCTGGTTTGTATTTCTTCCCCAGCTCTGGTTTTATCTGCCAGATTGCCATCGTACCACTTCCCTGGGACAATCGGGGGGTTTATATCCTGGCTGAGAGATTGGATAGACCATCACTTTGCTGCACAGACATCCAGAGAGCCTCTGTGTTTGTCTTGATTTGCCTTTTGCCAGTCTGTCATTTGTAAATAAGAAGCTTTTCTTAATTGACTCGCCTGGTAGAGTGGTAGAGAAGCCCTTGTAGAGTCCTGTGAAAGCCCACAGTGTGCAGTGAGGGCAGACAATGTTGTCAAACAGAAGAACTCTGCACCAATGATGAGACATAATGTGTGTGTGTGTGTGTGTGTGTGCCTGTGCGCGCACTTGTTGGTGTTTCTGGTTCAAGCAAATGTACACACACACACACATGGGTGAAGCGGATCTTACTACTACTAGCCAGTCAGCTGTTTTCTCTCGTTGGAGGCCTCTGGCTGTCCTCCCTGCTGCCTGGCAGGAGCAGTTGTGTTCGGCTCTGTTCTTTGTATGTCTGCCTGTGTAACAGTGTCACCACACACACACACACAGCTCGTTAAACTGAGTATGACTACATTCTGTAAACAACAATATTAGTCTTGTGTCAAGATGTCAATTTAGATGACTGGATCACACTTGAATGTATGCATGGTTTCCTGCAGTGTATACATATTTGAGCTAACATGCTGATGCCAAGCAGGTGTGTTGATCATGTTAACCATCAATGTTTAGCTTGACCCCCAGAGCTGGACCGTGCTTGGAGCACTTTGATCCTGACTGAAATAGCTCCACGTCTATAGGATGGATTGCTATGACATTTTGCAAAAACATCCATGGTCCCCAAAGGTTGGAGCTCACTGACTTACTGTAGATGAGGCCCGACTTTACCTTTGACCAGTGCCGACTACCAGTAGGTTGAAAGTTGTGGTTTTAAGTAACATTCAATAACTAATGAATACATTGCAATTCAATTAGAATTATAGATGCCCTAGGACATCTGCAGACAAACAATCTATCTGGTGCATGTTCCAGGAACCTGATCACAGTTAAGAGGCCGACTTCTAGGTTTTAGTGATCATTGTAAATAGTAAATGGACTGTACTTGTATTTCTCTTCTCTAGTCTTCTGACCACTCAAAGCACTTTAACACTACATGTCATCATTCACCCATTCATATGCTGATGGGGGGGCTACCATGCAAGGTGCCACCTGCCCATCAGGACTATCTAACATTCACACCCAGGGCAATTTATGGTTAAGTGTCTTGCCCAAAGACATGGACTAGCAAAGCCGGGGATCGAACTAACCCCAATGTCTTGTGGACCAGGATGAAAGGAAACTATGTCCACGTATGGTGACTAGATGGAATTTTAAACACTTTAATGAGCAGATCTTCTTAAATGATCTTCTGTCAAGTGATATTCATTCGGCCTCATTAGGGCCATATTGCTGGGCCCGCTGGAGGGAAGGGAGGCACGGGAGAACCAGAACCAGGTTTCTGGACTATCTGACTCTGCTGCAGTAAAATGAGGTTTTCTGAGACTTGCTCAGAAACACTACATTTGTGTTCACAGGGAGCGTTAAAATCAACACAAATTATAAATCCCTCGTTATAGCTTCAAATTTGCTTCAAATCCTTCAAAGTTTTAATATCGCATATGCTATTTAGGTATTAAAGACTCGAGGCCTGACGATACTTACTGTTACATTTAATGATCATTTTGTGTAAAAGGTCTTGCATTTCTGTTTTCTATGTAACATGATAGAAGTTTACTTTTCTAATATGAATGTAGTTTCCATAGAAGATGCAGGCTGCTGTCAGCCAGAGAGCTAGAGATTGTACATCTTTATCTTCTATATATTATTACTGGGGAACTAACCTGTCCATTCTCTCCTTCTCAAGGGGACCTGGCGGCCCACCTCGGCCGTCCTCTGATCGGCGTCTTCCTGCAAGGAACCAGGGACCCGGACCAAAGTATCCGGGCCAGCAGTCTGTCCAACCTGGGGGAGCTCTGTCAGAGACTGGACTATACTCTGGGAACGCTGGCCCAAGAGGTGAGAGGGAGCACACTGACATTAACACCTCTTGGGGGAACTGGGTTTCTTCAGCAGTACACAGTAAAGAGTAGGGCTGTGTATTGGCAAGAATTTGGCCTTTACCATACGGGTTATTATATGGTGGCCGATATATTGCCTCTTCCCTGAGGCATCGTGCCATGGGTTGACCCTCCATTCGTGTAAACGCAGTACCTCAGGAATGCCTGGAGGGAATTTCTTCATATTTGGCACAAATTACCAGCTGGACTCGAGGGTGGAATTATTAGATTTTGTTGGTCAAACGTTGCTGTGATCTCGCATGAGACACATATTTGGCCATAACTCAAGAATTGATATGCTAAATATGACAATTTCACACCAATGTCTAATGGGATACAATGAAGAAGTCCTGACATTTTGGACAGACATGGATGTAGACTGCAACTTGACTGGTTCATGAAAACATACAGCAAAAATACTTGTATGCATATCAGATCAGTGTGATTTGCATGTATCAGTCTCTGTAGCGTCCGACATCATTGCACATTGTTTTGTGCATTCTGAGCCACTCTCTGCATCTGCACTGTCCATCTTTGCATGTTAGTTGAAAACAGATAATGTGTTTGATAATCGACACAATATCACAAAACATAATATCGCGATACTCGAGTGTATCAATATTTTCTTACACCCCGAGTAAAAACAACAGCTGCAGGACATCATGGAAAATACTTTACCATCAAAATCACACACCAGGACACGTGTAGATCAGTGCAGGTGGAGCCCCGACAGTGTGAGACTGTGAATAACCACAACAGTTCATGTGCTACACTACATCAGTGGTGAAGCTCTCTTTAATACAAGATAATCCGTAAAACAGTTAAAACAATGCTGTATGGATGGAAGATGTTTTGTTTGCCTGTATTGATTTGAGGTTACATGCAATAATACACTCTATGGTGTATTTAGATAAGAAATAAGTAGTGCTGGGAAACTTAACGTGTTATTATCGCGTTAACGCATTCATTCATTAACGCCGACAATTATCTTTTCGCGCGTTAACGCAGTTTTTTCTTTATTATTATTTTGAAAGCCCGTTGCTCACTGGCAGCGGTGGAGGGAGTCTTCAGACTACGTTGATGCAGCGTGTGGGAGAAGTAGAGATAAACTAAAGCAAGACAAGCTAACAGATGCTACAGAGAAGTGGATACAAACTGCAGGTTAGTGTTGTGGAAGATGTCGGTCTAAGGAACGTTCACGTCGCGTTTGGTGTGAACGCACCTTTAGGATCCCAACGAATGACATCACGTATGAGCCTCGAGACGCACCGTCACCAGAAGAACACACGAGTTGTATTAAAGCTGTTAAAAATAACCTGATGTGTTTGAAGTGTTTAAACCAAATGTTATTGACCTTTTGTTCATATAGCAGCACTTAAATACACTACTTTTGAATTCATTATTGAACTTTGCGCATAACACTGAGATTAATCACGATTTCAAATGTGGAATCGTTGCCCAGCACTATAAATAACAGGATCTACTTCAGAAAGGTTTTGCATTCCCTCTGAGCTCTGGAGGTCAGAGGGATCGACTACAGCGTGATCCTTTGCAAAAGTACCTTGTGGGTGCTTAAGTGGAGCCATGGTCTACACACATGCATGCCCACTCACTTGAACCAGGGTCTGAGTTGACAGAAGTTCAGCCCACATTTACACACGTGCATTCCGCTCAAATAACGATGCTGCCGTGTGTGTGTTCACTGAAGCCTGCTGCCATTAATGAGCAGCACTGTCAGCTGTAAGAACACGCCCACTTCTTACCGTGTGCGTGTGCATGCGTCCCATGTTGGTCCAATACATCAATCGATCCACTTTACTGTGTTCTGACCTCAGCGGTGGAGGCTTTCAGCTGATTGGGAGTCTTTGTGACAAACATGCCACGTCAAACAGCACAGCTCCAGATTGTGCTGTAAATCCTAGTCAGACATGATCACTAACTGTATTTCAGCTTTTTGCCCATCCTCATGTTCATACCACTATAGATAACTGTGTGTGTGTGTGTGTGTGTGTGTGTGTGTGTGTGTGTGTGTGTGTAGCTCAGCTCCTGTCTGACTGCTCTGATAAAGACGGAGAAGGAGGCAGAGGTGAGGAGAGCTGCTGTCCATGTTATCACCCTGCTGCTCCGAGGCCTCGGCGACAAAACCACCCAGGTACACACACAACTGAGTATGCATGATACACTCTTGTTCGCTACCCATTTAACCACAAACAGACGTACATAATGTATACACTGGAACAAGTCATTGTGCGCCTTTGAAGTGTTTTCATGATGACCTGAGGTTGAGCTTCAAAAGTTCAAAGTTAGCTTTATTGTCAGTTCCACAATATGTACCGAACATACCGAGGAGTTGAAAAAACGTTTCTCCCAGTCCAACATATAAAGTGAATACAGTGCAAATAGATGAAAAAACATTTAGACAACATATAATTTAGCAGCAGTCAGACATAGAGTCTTAAAGAGAGGAGGGAGAGAGTTCAGCTTCCTAACAGCCTGGTGGACGAAGCTGTTTGAGAGTCTGGTGGTGCGAGCACGGAGGCTCCGGTATCTTCTCCCAGAGGGCAGGAGGCTGAAGAGACTGTGTGAGGGGTGGCTGGGGTCGCGCACAATCATGATGACTTTGCGGGTGAGGCGAGTGTCTTATATGTCCTGCAGGGAGGGGAGTGAGGCACCAATGATCCTTCCAGCTGTGTTCACTATGCGCTGCAGGGCTTTCCTGTTGTAGTCAGTGCAGCTTCCGCTCCACACAGTGATACAGTTTGTCAGGATGCTCTCAATGGTGCCTCGGTAAAAGGTGCACATGATGGGTGGTGGTGTTCTTGCCTTCTTCAGTTTGCGGAGAAAGTAGAGGCGCCTGTGGGCTTTCTTTGCCAGTGATGTTGTGTTGGCTGTCCACGAGAGGTCCTCACTGATGTCCACCCCCAGGAATTTGGTGCTGCTCACTCTCTCTATATCAGCACCATTGATGGTCAGTGGTGTGTGTTGAGGGTGTTTAGTGTGGCCAGTGTTTGAAGCGATCAGTCGGTCGTGTTCTCTTTGTCCTGCTGAAGCGTGAATGAATCTCTCATTCATGAGTGTTTGCTCTTGCTGTTAGATTTACAGAGCTGCTAATAATCTATCGGGACACATTATGCTCTCAGGTGATCTCAAAGATTCATTTTTTAAATCAAATATCAATAGACCCTTTTCATTGTAATCTTTCATATGAATATGAATTCATAAACAGAGGAGGCTTGATATGTCCTGTATTTGGTAAAAAAAACACTGAAGTAGGAGGACCAAGAGCCACTTTAAGCCTTTAGCTTTAGTATTAATGGAGCAAATACTAAAGATATATTACAAACAGCTCCGCTGATTCACTGCCGTTGTTCTATAAGCTGCTGTTAACACACTGACCTTTGCTCTGTAACGAGGACTGAATGGAAGATTGGAGCATGTGTAGATGCATGTTGTCATTGTATTAACAGAGCAGCAGGCTCCTGTTAGTCCTGTTCATCTGGAGGCTTTGAGCAGGCTCAAGGCTGTGGTGTGCTCCTGAGAGTGAGCGGCTGGTACAGAGCTCTGACGGGTCCTGTAATCTAGTCCCAGCTTCCCTTTGGTCATCACTGAGGTAATGAACCAAATGTTAGCTTCTCACCAAGCACAGGAAGGAGGCTCCCCCCAAACACCATGTTTCAGCCTCTTTCTCACCGCTTCACATTCCTCAGTGTGTGGTTACTGCTGTAGTGTTGTTCTTAGATAGTCCACCGCAGGGTCCCAGCTAATCACGTCACAGGTCTTCAGCCTCCTAAAATGGAAGCAGCGAGGCAGGATCACTGACTGGATTTCCTGAATTCACTGATCCCTGTGCAGGTTTGAGGGAACAACATGGCTGGAGCTCTGTTGGTGTGTTCAGAGCACAATCATCAATAGGAACACCAGGAACAACACCTAATGAATACAGGCTCTCCTCTTTAGACCCAGTCTCATGTAAAACCTATAGCAGTGTTGAGAACAGAAAATCACTGAACTCTTCCTCCTGTGGTAGCCCAGTGAAAACACAGCGATATGTGAGCTGTGATGTGGCTCTTGAGCCACTGCCACTACTACAGTCAGCTGTCCAGCTGCTGTTCCCAGGCCAGGTCCTGTCATTACTGGAACGGCACCAGCTGAACACGGCTAATAATAGAGCGCAATGAGAACAGATGAGAGGGGCAGACATGAGCTCAGATGTTAGATCACAGGCCATCTAGCAGAGCGAGAACTTTCCCTGTGGACCGAGGTGCCTTTTGGGCCGATAGAACTCTGTAGAATGTCTATCAGTCCCCATGCTCTATATATCGATGTGTGTGTTCCATACAACGTATGAAAACTGAGCTGCACGTAATGCTGACGTAGTTGTAGACCAGCTAGCAGGCTCTGACATGTCAAAGAATACGCCCAACATGTCAAACTAAAGATCTGATTGGTTGAACACTATGACAATCAACAACATCGTCCCCATTCACTTAAACTGCACATGGATGCACTTGTGAGTCTGCAGGCCTCTGCCTCTGTTCTTACCTAGAGACACAGAGGTGAAATCTGATTTGATAAAAGCTCTACTTAAAACAAGCTGCACTGGAAGCAGAGCAACTGAGGAAGACAGGAGCTGTGCAATGAGAAAATAAGATAATGGGAAAATAATTATAATACATGTAGTGTATTTAAGAAAAATTATTAAATCATAAAATAGATATAACTTTGTGATTCTGTTTAGGCCAGCAGAGAAGGCCTTGCTGGCCCTGACGCCCACCACTGAGTCACACGGGGTCAACAGTACAGTGTAATGTATCTGATGAGGGATCAGCTCAGCGATAAAAGCACTCGTCACAAATATGAAAATAAAACGTTCAATAAGATGAAATGACAATAAGATGTAAGATAAGAGGGGATGACTTCATTAAGATAGAGCACTAAAAAAAGAGGATTGTGTGTAAAAGTAAGTGACACGTTTATCCAACAATATTGCACAAATATAAATGTAAATAATTAGTGAATGTAAAGATATTGTCCATAAATAGTATCAACAGATTGTATTAAGACTAAAACCAAAGATTGTAACTCTGTGCTCATGCTAGTTTTCTCTGGCTGTGGATCTGTTAACATTCCTCTTGATTCATGAGGAACGTGTGACACTTCTGTGGAGCGCTCGTTCACACAGCTTCAGCTGTTATTTAGTTTTCTTTGTTCTGTTCGGGCTGCGGTGAAGAACACAAAGATATTTCATCATCATAATATTTAAGGAGCAGGAACTTGTCATTTTTTTCTTGATTGATTAAAAGAAATCAATTTATAAACAGAATAGTATCTGCTTGATTCTTAAGTGATGAGCTGACTGTGTGGGTATGTTTGATCTCTGCTGTTCTTATGGGACGTGCTCCAGAGCCTTTAGACTGAGCTGTGTGATGCTGTCTCTCTCTGGTAAAAGGCTTCTTTGTGCTCCGTTGGGTTTTTGATCGATACACCTTAAAGTTAACTTCGAGGGGAATACTAGTCACATACAACTTGGATCTTATTTATAGATCAGTTAGTAATTACCAAGTGAGTTGCCAAACTTGATTGGATGAGAAACGCGATCAGTAGCAACAAACTGTCCGTTCCCCCCCCCTGTCCTCCAGGTTCTCAGTGATGTTCTGTTGGACCTGTACCGAGCTCTAAAGTGGGTGGTGCGCTCGGACCCGGATGATGTTGCCGTGCTCCATGCCCAGCTGGCTCTGGAGGAGATCGATGACGTAATGAGGAGGTTCATCTTCCCTGAGCAGAAGCTGGAGAAGAAGATTGTTGTCCTGCCATAGAGCTCCATTTGTATCTCTTCATAACCTCTTCACTGTTTGGACTTCTTATTTTGATATGCTCTGCTTAAGGCAGCGCTAGTTCTGCCTCCGTGTGATGTGGACTTTATGTCTCTGCACGTTTCTGAGCTACAAGCACCACACTGTAACAGCAGCATGCAGGAAGTACGTCCTCATAAAGTACCCGTATACCATCATGTTCTACTGTACCACCAACAGTCCACTTCCAAAATAAAGTTCTAAAAACATATTGTTCTCAATCTTTATTATATATACAAAGTATTAAAAATAGGTAACTGTTCATACCGATACTGCCACTATTTTACCCAGAGTCTTATTAGTGATCACGTATCAGCCAAAGACCCCTGATGGAGGAACACCAGGCTTAAAGGGGCAGTCCACTGCTCTACATGTCAGTCACTTTACTAGTCATTGGGAAAACTACTCAACAGTAGAAACCGCTGTGTGATCACAGACGTGGGGTTTAGCACTGCTCCGTCCCTTTAGGAGACCATCACTCCAACAGGACAAGTGAACAGATTATGTGTAAATATTGGGCCCATTTTTCACAAGACGGACAAATCAGGAGAAAATATTCAAGACCTGTCTCAGCAACACTCTCACAATACGTGGTGGCGTTACTAGTCTAGCATTAATGTTAGCCAAACTGTCAACACTTTAAGCAAACGTCAACTGTCGTTAGCTAACGCGCTAGCTAAGTCATTTCTGTAATGCTAAATTTGGTTGTTAGCTGTGTTGATATCTAATGTTATATTAATACATTGGACCGCTCCCACAGACACAGTGTATGTCAAACCATTGGTGCAACTTGTAATGCGTCATCTTTTATGTCTTCTGTGCCTCTAGAGAAGCTTTGTCAAGAACAACCTAACGGGCATTATGGGAAATAAGGTTTGTTAGTACAAGCGTCCCGAGTCAGTTAGTCTCTTTACTGGACAGGCTTGTTGTAAATCACTCGTCAACTCAACGTACAGCACCTGTTCATGAGATCAGGAACAGTGGCTCAAGAGGGTTGTCTGGTGACCGCAAGGTCGGCGGTTCGATCCTTGACTGGTACGTGTCGAAGAGTCCCTGAGCAAGACACTGAACCCCTAACGGCTCCCCGGGGGCCTGTCATTGGCAGACCACTGCTCCCTATATGGGTCAAATGCAGAGACAAATTTCCCCCTTAACCGGATCAATATAGTATAAATAAATTTAAAAAATCTGTCTAGAAACAGATGACTCCAAGTTAATGTAGGATTATCTTTTTACCTCCTTGAGACAAATACAGAACAAAGGTTTTAGGTTGAAGGAACCGTTCTAATTCCAACTGTTCTAATATCAAGTGCGCCTGCTTTGGTGTCGTTACTTTAGCTTTCTACACAAACTCAGACGTGTACAAAAATCTTTATATCTTTGAAAACTAGTGCAAAGCCCATTTCAAACGGGCCTGTTCAGAACGGGCCGGTTGCTTGGCCTTCGCTTCACACGCAACACCGCGTTGTTCCAGAGCAATACAGCAGGCAGCACACAGCTGCAATGCTACAGTATACGTATCATGTCGGTGCAGACGCTTACACAAACATTCACAGGAAACAAACTACCCAGCATGCTTTTCGTCAATTGCATCGAGTGACGGAGAGCAGCTGTAGTCAGCATGCCGTTCAGCGGTGTAACAGATAATAGGGTCCCCTCTGAATACACTACACAGCATGTACATAACACAGTAATAGTAAATGTCCCATATCTCAAGAGCTCGCACTCAACACTGCACTGCACTTCCGTGGGTCCTCAGCGATACACCACAGCAGCATGAAGACAATCAGAGGAATGGTTGTAGAGAAACCTGAAAGACATAGAGACAGACAGACAGGCTCCTCCCATTTTACTGAGATGGTTGAATGGTGGCCAGTGGTAAATGGAATTATTTCTTCTTTGGCACATTTTAACACAACCTGAACTGGAGACTGAACTACTCTGTCAACAATGCCAAATAAGGGTCCAGGAGGGTTTGAACAGAGACGCGTGAGACATTCCTTCTTTTGTTTCTCCCATTGGGCGACAGGCTGACGGTGTTTGAAGCATGACCTTCTCTGTCCCTCCGTCTGTGTGAACATACAGCAAACACAAGGAGCGTCAGCTTTCTTTGAGACCCATGGATGTTTCCCCCGACTGGGAGTCAAGGTATCACTGTGTGGGGGGCAGCGTAGAAACACGAGCTCTAATCATGGGGGCGGAGTTCGACCTGTGTTCACTCTGGAGGTTATGATTTTTAACACTAACAATAAGGTCTGTTTACGTTGTTTCCATTTAATTCAAGACAACAACCTTTTGACACCGGACAATATCGACCTAT